GTTCCGCTGTCATTGAAGATGCTAACAGAGGTCACAAAAGGTCAGTAGTCAGACTGGACTCCCGGCTCTGCTACAGTTGGATACCTTTTGGAACCAAATACTTGTTTGTTTGAGGTGCTAAGTGGGTTAGCCGCAATAGGCTACTTCCTTGTTTACCTCCTGCACACCTGCGCAGCATCCAGAGCATGTGAGCGGAGGGGAAGTAATATGGTGGAGCGCAGAGTTCGCCCTCTGTTCTCACAACGTCAATTAAAAATATTGGATTATAAAATTAGTAAAATAATATTTAGTGAGTGGGGAGCAGGAATTGCACGACGCTCCACTCGGTTCACATGCTCCTGCAGCATCGTACCTCCTTTGCTGCGGTAATTAACAGGAAGGTCTTTATTTATTAACAACCTTTGCAAAAACTAAAAGTAAAACACAAATACATCATTTGGCAGCAGGACTCACTAGTCTATCAGGGTTTAGATTCAATAAAGGTTTCATTTGCTCCTTTACAGCTATTTGTTTGGGGGCGGGGGGTAAGAACCAGTCCAGCAGAACCGGGTCTCTGACACCAGAGACCCGGATCTGCTGGACTGAAGCCGAGCAGGAAGTCGCCTCTGCTCAGCCAATCAGAGTTGGTTTCCTGCTTCCTCTGAACCTTTTCTCTCTCCTTCAGTGATAAAATGTTCCCGGCGTTCGGCTTCGGCGCCCGGATCCCCCCGGACTTCAAGGTAACCCCCCCCCGCCGCTCCTCCCAGCATGCCCTCTGCTCAGAGTAGCTGATCAGGGTTCTGTGTCTCCTCACTGCGGGGGTCTGCATGTCCCCCCCCCCCCCCCCCCCGCGCCTCCTGCTGGCCGCTCAGTCCTGGACCTGATGCTGCATTCAAAGCAGTTCTGATTGGCTCCATTTAGGGCCCACAACCTGAAATCTCTCAGCTTAAAGGCTGCAGAGGATCAGAGTGATTTTTATTTCCCTTCTTGTAGAATAAAGCTGAATTAAAATGAGTGAAACCGACATGAATCCAACATCAGTCCAGAACCAGAACCGCCCTGCTCTCCTCTTTGAGCCAAGATCAAAAGCAGCTTCCTGTTTCTCCTCGCAGGTCTCCCACGACTTCGCCGTGAATTTTAACGAGGACAACCCGGAGTGTGCAGGTAGGTGCAGAAGATGCTCCAGGCTGTGAGGTGACCACAGGCTGGTGGCGTCCTGATCAGCGCTTCTAGATTCTACTTTTCTATGAACATTAATGACGAGGGATGATATCAGAGGTGAAACCAGGAAGATGTAAAAAAAAAACTAAACCTGAAACTGCATCCTGGTATTTCTGTCTCCATGACGACGACCTATAAATCATGGATGCAAAGGACAGATCAGAGCTGCTGTCCTTCATTGATCAAACTGATGCTTTCATCTGCTGATGGCTCCTCTGTCTACATGCTGACCTTCTGGGTGATGTTTCCTCCCCCCCATCAGCCCCCCTCCTCTGGGTAAAACTCATCATCAGCAAACGAGGAAAACTGATAAACTGGAGCTGGATGGAGATTTCACTGTAGAAGCAGAAACGTCAGTTTGAGGTTAAACAATCATCCAGAAGCTCAGGGATTTTTAGGCATTACTGCTTTTTTATTCTTTACAGAA